CCCAAACACGCACTCTCTGAGTTGTGTACAGCGAACACGGCAAAACATAAACACAGCTTAATCACTACCTTACCCTTCCCCAACCACATCAACAAACAAAAACATAAATACAGCTTAATCACTACCTTACCCTTCCCCAACCACATAAACGAACAATTTACGGGCTGCACACCCGTGCCCTCAAGGTAGGTCAATGGAAGTGTCTTTTGCCCCCCATCGTGCTGACTGTGACGTGAACAAATGCTGGTATGGTACTGTGAGACATAATCTGCAATGCAATTGCACAAGCAGATTATTCTCTGGGTGACGGGATCCACATCATTGAATCGAGGCCGGCTGGCGGTAGATAGGCCAGGCACTCGGACCCCATGGGAAGGGGTGGGGAAGTGACTTGAGCAAGTGCTGCTTGTACTGGGAGGCACAATCTGTGTCGAAGGGGTGTCACGATGATGCGCGGTATGGAGGCTGGCTGGCGGTAGATAGTCCCAGCCACTCGGACACACGTGGTGTGAGGGGTGGGAACGGGGTCGTGACGATGAGGGCCAAGCCGCAAAGCTGCAAAATGCAAAGTATCACCGCCCAAGTTCATTGCATCAGTGGGGCTTGCCATTGACATTCACGTTGTGTGTCCCAATCGGCGGTCCCATTGTGTGTCCCAATTGGCAATTCCTATGACGGGTCGTCTCTCGTAGAGGGGAGAAAAGGAAAAAAGAAAGACGGACGAACATCCACACTCGGCGGCGAATAATGGCCGGTCACTGGGTAGACTGGACCTGAAGTGCGTATGACCAAGGTACGCAATGCATGAGCACGTGTTTGTCCTATTTCTATCCAACGGCATGCCACAGCAAGCAATTGTTGAGCCACGTGGAGAGGAAAGAGGGTTCCACATGTCTGTTTCTGGAAGGCAGATAAAAAAGAGCTACGTCCACACGCAGCGGAAAAGAGGTACGTTCACCGGCTGCCGGTTGGTGAAGTGGTATGGCGGCAGATCAATGAACACACTGGTACGACCAATCACAAGGTTGATCTGTACACGTGTACGTGACGCTGCTGTTTCACACCAATCGAGCAGTACACTCCGATATCGTGATTAATGATTCGGACAGAGAACTGTGATACGACGAAGATTAAAGAGTTAAGGAGCATTGTGATGTGATTGAAGGAAGGTTCGACGAAGGTTCAAGAACACCGTGAACTGTGATTGGACGATGGTCCACGAACAGTTTTTTTTTGTCGGTAGTGCTTGTAAATCAGTAGTGTGGTACAACGTAAAGAGAGCATGGGTGAGACAACGTGGATGTGGCAATTGATTGATCTCGATCTTCCGGTAAGAAGTGAGCAGAGGGGCTTCAAGTGGGTATTCATGACGTGAAGGTGATTAGAGTCAGACTTGTGGCGTTGATGGCGCTTCGCCTTTCCCAAAAACATCGTACAATTAACGTCCTGTCTGGTTATCACTAAGGTACCCCGTTGTCGTCCTGCCCTGATTGGTGTGAGTCCTGTCTGGTTATCTCTAAGGTACCCCGTTGTCGTCCTGCCCTGATTGGTGTGAGTCCTGTCTGGTTATCACTAAGGTATCCCGTTGTCGTCCTGCACTGATTGGGTAGTAAGTAGCTGTCGGCTGCAACGTCTTGGAACGTGTCGAAAGGCATGCGCAGTCTGTCGGTCGCCCGTTAGCAGCTATAACTGCAGCGTGTGGGAAATCCAAGGGCACCGGAACCTGCCGCACACACACACACACGCGTTTGTCTACTTCCTCTACGTTTGCCATCTGTCAATGGCCCATTGATCGGCTGTTCGTGACGTCTCTGTCACACGTCGTTGTCGTTCATGATGGTCGAATTGTCACACACGCACGTCCGTGACTGCATGTTGCCATTTACCCCTGTACGACTGTCGCCCACCCACATGAACCTTGCTGCAGTCTCGCCCCTCTCTTGATCGTCGCTCTGTCCCGATTGTAGCCTGCTGTCAGCACTCGTTGACGAGTTGTTGTCACACGTATGCCTCTGTCACACACTCGTCTAGGCTTGCCACTTGGGTCTGACTCATCTTGGATTGTTGTCACACATTGGTGACACTCGTCCCGCCATTGTTGTCGCACTTGTTTGGCAGTAATGCACGCCTGTTGTCACACACTCGAATGTCGCTCATTGTTTCGAACTGATATGAGCGGGACAGCTTTCGCACACCCGATCACCTTCCGGCGGTCTGTTCCCACGTCATCTCATTCGGGGTAGAAAAAGCTACAACGAGAAGTTTTCAGAGGAACTTGTGCGGCACGTGCTGTGCGGCATACGCTCACGAGAGGTTAGTGTGCTGCGTGCTTATTAGTGGAAACTGCGCCGCTAAGAGTATCCTCGGCGTGCTGACGGGATTTGTTCGGCGAGGAGCATGGAACAGTGGTTGTGCTGGCATTCGCGGACGTCGAGCTGGCGGTTCTGGTCTCTGAGAGAGAATCTTCGCAGACGTTGATCCTGATCAGAACCTTTTCAACTGTCGATCCTGCGCATTGCTCTCTCTCGCTCTCTCTTTTTTCTCCCTCTCCCTCTCTCTCCTCTCCCCCCCCTAAGCCTCCGGTTTTTCTTTCTGTATCTGCTTGACCGTTGTGCCTGCAGCTTTTGCATCCAACTGCATCTTGCCCGCCATCCGTTCCTCTACCGGAGGCGGCCACCTCCCTGCGGCGTAATATTGAGTTCATCTTGGCCCTTCTCCTCCCTTCTCCTCCCTTATGCTCTCTTTTCCTCTCTTCTTCTTTACCGCTACCTCCCTGTCGTCTTAATATTTTGCGTTCATCTTTGACCTTCTCCTCCCTTCTCCCTTCTCCTTCCTTGTTGTCGTCCATCGTTTTCTCCGCATCTTCTCTCTCTCTCTCTCTCTCTCTCTCTCTCTCTCTCTCTCTCTCTCTCTCTCTCTCTTCTCGGTCGTGCTCCTCTTCCTTCCCCTGCCTTTTCCCGATTTTCTCCTCTTCAGCTCTCTGGTACTTAACTCTCTCCTCGCCTCTCCCCCTTTCCGCGTCAACTTTTCTTCGTTTTCCTCTCCTTTCCCTTGTACATTTTCCCATGTGATTCGATCATCTCCTTTTGCCCCGTCTCTTCCGGTCGCTTCTGAATGCACCCTGGCCTTCTTTACGGGTGTGTAAGCCACTACCGCTTTCCTCCCTTCCATTGCTATCTTCTTCTGTGTCATCTGTCGCTCTCCCCCGCACTCTAGGTCTGCGCACTGCGGTGCGCTCTTTTCCGCCCTTGCCATCACGTACAGGCATGAGGATCCCATCTCCGCCGCCTCTGTCTCTGGACCAGGACGGTGACGCGCAGGCTGTGCCGCCATCTCCGCCGGCTCCTCAATCGACTCCCCGTGCTGCGCCAGGGAGCATGGGTCCTCCACCACCCAAACCCCCTCCTTCTCTCTCTCATCCCTCTCCGCACCCTCAGACTCACAAGCATCCATCCCCCCGATCACGGAGCCCCTCGATCTCCCCCCCTTCTTCGCCATCGCTTTCCCCTTCGTCTTCTCCTTGCTCGTCGCCGTCACGAGTGCCGATGGGACCACCTCCCCCGCGCGCTTCCCCCCCTGCGTGCTGGTCGACAAGGTCGGGATCGCCGCCGCCGCCGCCGCCGTTCTTCTCTCTGTCCTCCGATCGCCACCACCACTTCCCCGCAGCGATGACATCATCACGCGGCGCGCCATGCGCATTATCGGCCATCACCTCCTCGTGCGGCGGTTTCTCTCCCTCTTCTACAGCGGCGGATGCGAGGGGAAACCGCTCGGCGACAGAGTCCAATCTCCATTCCCTTTCGCTGAGCGAGGGTGTGGCGGCGCCGGCGGCGGCGGACGAACGGCCTCCAGCGGAAGTGGCGGTCGCGATGGTAATGCCTCCGCCGCCGCCGCGGCCCCCCAAAAACGTATTAAGGGGGGTTGATCAGCGGCCGCCCGTTGCGCCGGCGAGGTTGGCGGCGGGGTTGGCAGCATCAGGCAGTGGAGACGTTACAGGGGCGGCGATGGGCTCCGAAAATGACGAGAAAATTCTGTTGCGTGGGCAGTCGAGGTCAACAGCGGGGGCTTGCTCCGTTAAAGGGGGGGAGGAGGAAGGGGAGGACGAGGAGGAGGGTGATTTGTCTGGGAGGGCATCTTCCTCTATGTTCGAGAGAGGGCGTGATGATTCCCGTCTGTCAGAAGAGTTTCATTCTGGTGGCTCCTCCTTGAATGGAGAGAGAAGGAACGATGAGACAGCAGTGGCGGCGTGGGAGGAGGGAGAGAGGGATGACAACCCCGAGAGTAAGGGGATCTATCTTAAGCCGTCATCGGCTCATGAAGGCATGCAGGAAGATGATGTGGAAGAGCAACCGCAGAGAGCGGAGAGCCCTCAGCAGCAGCAGCAGCAGAAACCGTCGGTCTTGTCCTCTTCCTCTGCACCGCCGCCATACGTTAAACCCCCTTGGAGCTCGGCGCCAGGTGTCAATTACAAGCTGGAAGTGCTAAAGGAGGGTATGATTGTGGGGCATCTAGACGTGTAAGCCATTCCTCACCTTCCTCCTTATTCCATCTCAATCTTCCTCTCTCTTTTTCTTTGCATTGTTCCTTTTTCACTCCTTCCCCCCCTTTCCCCCCCCCTTCCCCCCCCCTTCCCCCCTTTCTCTTGTCCTCTGCCGTTCTTCCCTGCGTCTTACGATCCTCTGTGTGTTTGCGGGTTTCTTTCTTTTTGTTTTTCCTTCTCTTTTTATTTCATTTCTCTATTCTTTTTTCCTGTTCTTCTCTCCACTCCTCCCTTCCCCCTCT